GGCCCACTCCAGGCCCTTTCACAGGCGTCCTGCTCCCACCGGCCCGTTTGGCCGACACGCGGAGCAGGGACCTCGGCGTGGGGACAGCAGCCCACGTTTCTGTTTACTTTGCTGTCCGAGTGACATGCAGGGGACGCCCACAGCGCCGGCTCACAGCGCACCCCTCGGCGCTCGCACGCTCAGGAGGTTGTCACGGCCGGGAAAACAGGATCACCCAGGGGAACCCTCCCACTCAGCTAACATCCTCTCCAGCCTGCGCCGCATTTATTCTTACTGGGGTCACGCACGGGGCTCGGGATTTGAAAGATGCTTAGACCGTGAGGGTGAAAACGCCCCCTGCGGCCCAGAGAACGGGTGCGAGTCCTTCCATGGAAGGTCCCGGAGGGCCCCGTCCCCAGGGAAGATGGGCACATGCACACGCATGCACACGCACACACACGCACACGCCTCACAGCTGCGGTCACCTCGCCCGGTACCGTGGGCCCTGCGAGAGCTGCGCCATGTGACGGGTAGTCGGTGTTGGCATCACGGTGGGCGAGCGTGTCCCAGGGAGACACCCGCGGGGTGGGGCTTCCTGAGCGCTCCCGGCATCGAGTCCCTCACAGAACGTCCTTCTCCCGGCTGCCCTACAGGTAGGTTTTGTTAGAAACCCCAGTATTCAGGTACATCAAGGGAGGCCCAGAGCGGCTCCGTGGTGGGATGTAGGGTCAGGGCAGCCTGGGCTCCACTCTGGGCCTCGGCCCGCAGGCGTCAGGGAGCCCGCAGCCTGGCCCCACCTCACCTGCCCGGAGACCGCCGGGAGGGAGGGGCCGGCGCAGGGCCCGCCGCGCCCTCGGAGCTGGGGGCTGGGGGTGCCGCCCAGGGGTGAGCTCTTCGTGCAGGGAACGCGGCTGCGGGGACGCCAGCGCCGTCCCGGGGTCCCGGATTCCACGGCCGCCCCTCCCGCTCCCTCGGAGGCGGGCTCAAGGGATCGGGTGGCTTTGTGTGTCTCGGGCCTGGCGGGTTCATCGACCGCGTCACCTGTGGATCAGGCCCAACGGGGTTTCCCTGAGAGAATGAGCCCTTTGTCCCCACAGTTCTGGAAGGAAGGCAGAGGCGTGGCCCCCCCGGGCCTGGCGGCCAGTCCGCGCTGTGCCTCCCCGATGCGCCAGGACGTGGGTGCCAGCGGGTCCGCCGAGCTGGTGACACATCTGTGAGGCCCGCGGAGCCCTCGCCCGCCTTCTCGACATTTCCAGACACGCTGCTCCCCGGTCCCTTCCCCATCGCCTGGTCCCCGTAAGAGCGAAAGTGTAAGAGCAGGAGGGGAGCCACCGAGGGGCCTCGGCGGGGGACGGAACAAACACTGTCCCCTCCGGACAGGGGACTATCGCTGGGCTCTCCAGCCAGGAAGGGCGGGCGGGAGCCTGAGGGGACGTCCCTAGCTCCGCTCGGCGGGGCCCCAGCTCCACCACCTTCTGGAAGAAGCACCAGGATGGACCCGGGCCGTCAGGGCCGGGAGGGATGGACAGACGAGCACAGGGGATGCGCAGGGCCGGAAACTCCGCCGTGTGAGACCGGAATGGTGGGAACAGGTCATGGCGCATCTGTCCAAACCCACGGGATGTGCGCCAC